AAGTATATTTTTTTAACCTTTTTGATCCTGTGTGGCGCCGACTATTGTTGATGTCCACGTAACATGCCGTATTACATTTTTATCATTCATGTACATAAATGTGAAATAAATAATAAAATATGATTTTTATTATAACATTAATAATGAAAAATTTATTTTGTAAAACTGCATATATGTATATTCAATTATCTAAAAAATGGACACTTGCGGCAAACTTCCTTGCACAAAGGAAGCACAATCGCACACATTTTTGCCGGAACGAAAGGGTTAAATATATATTTAATTTAATCAAGTAAATAAAGGTATGATTCAATATAGCCTACCAAAGCTACTTTGTAATTTTTACTGAGTTTCATATTGAAAACTGCAGTGATCAAATTCAAAATAGATAACATTTCTAAATATTAATTAAAAATATAAGACATTTTCAATTTTTAAGTTGATGCAGTGAAAATTTAACTATTCACATACCTATGTAGACATAACAAATTGGTTACATTGAATGTTAAGCCATCGGAAAAAAAAGAAAATCATAGTTTATTATTTTAATAATAAGTACAGAAGATCTATACATATATATTATGTACTTTATATTTTCGTCACTTTTTAATTATATTATTTTTTATTTTAATAAACACAAAGTCCAAAATCGGGATAAACACGATTTAAAGACGTCTAAAAAAATATCTTTAAAACATTTTTATATGAGAACCGTATAAAAACCCCTCTTATGTTCCGATTGTAAACCGATTTGTGTTGTCTAGAATTTTACTAATTTCATATGTATTTTAGTAATAAATATTGTATTATAGAAAAATGCAAAAAAATTTTTGTTTTTTTTGGAATATATCTTAAAAATAAGCAGCGAATTTCTGGAAAAGTAAATAGTTTTAAATATTATACATAAAATACCATAAACAAATTTGAATAATAAACGCAGCCTGATGTCATTTTTGTGTACAATAATATATTGATTTCCTAATAAAAATGTATATTTGCTCAGATCTCGCTTCTTATATTTAATAAAATAATACTGTAATTATTAAAATAGTATTAGAATTTTAAAAGAAATATTCATATAAAGTTGAATAACAAATATATATTTAAAATATATATTCTTTTCTCATTGTAATCTTTATATTTATTATATATGGAATTTGCGAATGAAGTAATAATGATAACACATATGTAATGCCATTAGATTTAATTTTAATGATAAAATTCTATGTTTTTATCTCGTTAGAGCGTAAACTGTGTGATTAATTAAGTATGTTTTGTATAGGCTACATATATTTTGTATATTTTTATCTTGTTATTTGTAAAGTAAAACCATCATTAGAAGCATACAGCTTACATAATCGTTTTTTAACATTTACTTTATATTATAAACATTGCATCTTTATAAATTTTAATTTACATTTGGATATTAATCATAGAACTTTATACATAACATATATTAATAAATAATTGAGGCGTAATTTCTTGATTTTAATTTGTTTATATAGTTATGGTTCTGTAATTTATATAAAAAGCATAACCATTTATTGACTAGAATTTGTGATATATATTGTATTTAGCAGTGATACATGTATATAGACTTATATTCTATGAATTAGATTTTATGCATTTATTTATTATGTATTTATTATTTCCTATTATGTGTGTGTTTGTATATATGTGTCTGTATAATTAATGTAAGATGCATTAATCGTTAAATTTATATCATTTATTTACTACAACAACATAACGCAAAAATTGCCATGTTTTAATTGCTTACAGAAAAAGTTCAGAAACGTAAATAAAAAAAGAAGAAACATATTTTTATTCCCTCAATCAATTATTGCATTAAAATTAACATTTCAAAATTAATATTACAAAATTTTAATAATTTAAAACTCATTTTCTAAAAAATGTTGTTATAACAAATAAATGATATATGTTAATAATAAATTAAAAATAGATGTTGCATCGGTTTTCTATTTTCTAGCAATATCTATTACGTACAATATCTACACAGTCTTCAATAATTGATAAAGTTATATAATATATGAAAGTTATATAATTTATGAAGCAGTGTTTTCCATCTCAATTAACTATAAATATTTAATTCTACTTGTGATAATAGTGTGTATATTATATGTGTATAAGCTTAGAATTTAAATTTATAATTTCTTACCTAATTTTCTTAAAATATAATTAGAGATCTTCTAAAACCTATTTATAAGTTTCTACATTCACATTTATAAATTCACATAACTAAATATACATTATGTTTCTTTATTATCTTATGCTATTTATAAATAGTTTTAA